CTTTAAAGATTTTCGGCGATTAAATATTTCATACAATTGTTCTTTGACATCTTAGCCAAAAGCACAGGGGATAATAAACTACATAAGGATTCCTAATGTGCTCTACTTCCTATGTGCAACTTCAAAACTTTTGGGTGGTTCGACGATCATTTAAGGTTTTTTCTGGTCATATTTTTGTAATCCAGAATTAAAAGTATGAAAAAACTATTCAATTAGTTATAAATAACATTATATCCAGCTAGATAATAACAATGGCACGTATTTCAGCATTTATTAGGTAGAACACAAATCTAGGGTGCTCGCATAAGGCAGCTTAACTGCCTAAAAAAACCAAGGCAAACGTGGCAGAAGCTTAAGTTAAGATTAATATTGTAGAAGAATTGGTTTAATTTTTTATCTCAGCTATTTCAAGCTAAAACATGTTTGTACCTTAATATTTCCGCTATCCAATCCTACCATTTTCAAAAGTTATTTCTAATTTATCTTAAATATGTTTCTGATATTCATATGATGAAGACATAATCTTTCAATCAGTTTAATTGAGGTCTGGAGCTGGCATGTCAGTTACTGCTAGTAGTCTGTTGTTATTTATGTATTATTGTCATTTTGTCTATTTTCTTTTGTTTCCTATTCTGACATCGGACTCGGACTTCTCTTATACTGAGTTTTACTGTGCGTACTGTTGTGCGTTTGTTTTTTTCTATATTGTCTAGAGGTATAGGGGGAGGGTTGAGATCTCAAAAAACATGTTTAACCCCGCCGCATTTTTGCGCCTGTCCCAAGTCAGGAACCTCTGGCCTTTGTTAGTCTTGTATCATTTTTTAATTTTAGTTTCCTGTGTATAATTTGGAGTTTAGTATGACGTCCATTATCACTGAACTAGTATACTTATTTGTTTAGGGGCCAGCTGAAGGACGCCTCAGGGTGCGGGAGTTTCTCGCTGCATTGATGACCCATTGGTTTCCATCAGTTGTTGTCTGCTCTATGGTCGGGTTGTTGTCTCTTTGACACATTCCCCATTTCCATTCTCAATTTTATTCTTTTAAAATGAGCCTTAAATGAAAATTTTTATAGGCCCAGACATAATTCAAAAAATAATTAAAGTAAATTCAACCTAGACTTATTTCTTGCATCAATTAAATTCTATAATAAACAAGAAATGATTGTGACAGGATACTGTTATGAAGTCTCCCAAACAAAGCTCCTATAATTCGTCATTCCCATGGTGATCCATGGTCGCCTGACATTGGGCCGAGTCCAGTACAAATTGGTTTGGTCAAGTAAAGTGATATGCATATGTGACGCCTAGGAGATTGACCCTGTATGTCATTCAAACATTCTTGAGTTGACGAACAGGAATATATATGGTTTAGGGGTGGGGATCTCGACCTTTTTCAAGTTCTCAAAAGGTGGGGGTTGATCGCCAGGGGACTCTCCCTTTATTTCATTTGATTTGTTTTAATGTCCCATACAAGAATATGTATGGGTGGGGATCTCAACCGTTTGCAAATTTTCAAAAAGAAGAGGGGTGGGGTGACCCCCATGGACTTATCCCCTATATTTTATTTTATTTGTTTTATTTTCCCATACAAGAATATATATGGTGTAGGGATGGGGATCTCAACCGTTTACAAGTTCTCAAACAGGAGGAGATGGCGTGACCCCCAGGGTCTCCCCTATATTTAATTTGATTTATTTTATTGTTCCATACAAGAATATGTATGGTTTAGGGATAGGGATTTCGACCGTTAACAAGTTCTCAAACAGGAGGGGGTGGGGTTGACACCCGTGGACTCCCCCTATATTTCATTTTATTTGTTTTATTGTACCATACAAGAATATGTATGGTTTAGGGGTGGGGATCTCGACCATTAACAAGTTCACAAACAGGAGGGGTGGAGTTGACCCCCTGTGGACTCCCCCTATATTTCATTTTATTTGTTTTATTGTACCAAACAAGACTATGTATGGTTTAGGGGTGGGGATCTCAACCGTTAACAAGTTCTTAACAGAAGGGGGTGGGATTGACCACAGGGACTCCCCATTTATTTCATTTGATTTGTTATATTGTCCCATACATGAATATATATGGTTTAGGGGTGGGGATCTCGACCATTTACAAGTTCTCAAACAGAAGAGGTAGGGGTGACACTTGGGACTCCCCCAAATCATTTTCATTTGATTTGTTTTATTGTCCCATACAAGTATATGTATGGTTAAGGGGTGGGGATCGCGACCGTTTACAAGATAAAAACACATTTTCAAATTGAAGGGGGGTGGGATGACCCCCAGGGACTCGCCCTATATTTTATTTGATTTGTTCTATTGTCCTGTTATCATTACTGAAGATCGCGTGTGTGTCTATCACTTCACTTACTGTTTTCAAGTAATAGTCATTTGAAAATTGAAAAAAATAAAATCCCCTAGGGTTCTTTGGTAAACCCCTCCCTTATGTAGGCCCCTCAAAATACCCCTAAATAGACCCCAATGCACAAACGAAAACATTTTATGAAACTCTAAGTAAATCTGACAAGCGGTCCGAGTTGTCTTCTAAGACGATCCGAGTGGACTCGGTTCGAGTTGTCCATATTTCTTAAAAAATCCCATCAACGTCTATTATCGGATCTTTTTCATTCATAAAAACAACAACAACTGCCAAGGTCAGTGATAAACGGGAAAATATAATAAAAGAAAGGAATTTAAATGTGCATACATTTATTTGAAATAAATAAAATAATCACAATCTTCTTAAACGAAAAGACCATCATTATTAACAAAACTTTCTTTAAAACATCACTGATACTTGCCTTACGTTATAAGTTAAAATTATCGCCAACGTATACTACTACATATAACTTTATTGCCTCTATCATAGAGATTTGGTGTACACGAACAATATTCGTGCGCCTTTGGTCATTTGGGAAATGTAAACGACTTGTAATTAGAGATTTTCGGCGATGAAATATTTCATACAATTGTTCTTTGACATCTTATCCAAAAGCACATGGGATGATAAACTACGTACGGATTTCTATTGAGCACTACTTCCTATGTGCAACTTCAAAAGTTTTGGGTAGTTCAACCAGAGACATATATACATGTGTATATATGTCTCTGGTTCAACGATCATTTAAGGTTTTTCTGGTCATATTTTTTTGTATTCCAGAATTGAAAGTATGAAAAAAAGTTCCCAATTAGTTATTAATAACATATTAGCCAGCTAGATAATAACAATAGCACTTTTTACACCATTTAGTGGGAAGAACACAAATCTAGGGTGGTAGCATAAGGCAGCTTAACTGCCTAATAATTGATTGGCACTGATTTTCGAACTTGTCCAAGACATTGCTAATATAAACCTATGATATAAGTTTCATAAAATCTGGCAAGAATTGTACAAAGGAGAGCGCTAACGATGCAATTTTCAATATAATTAATGTTTCCAATGGGCATAACTCTTTTAATAAAATGCTGCGCTGGGCGCAGCTTGATACGACCGCAGAGGTCGAACCCTGAACAGTTGGGGCAAGTATGGACACAACATTCAAGCTTGATACATCTCTGAATTTGGATTGTGATTAAATATTTGACACAGCATAGGTTTCTGACACAGAATGAATGTGGTCTAAGAACTTAAAAAATTTTAATTTACCTATTATGGTCCAATATCCAAAATCTAAATACATGGTTAGATTCAGCATATCAAAGAATCCAAAGAATTCAATTTTTTATGAAATCAAACAAAGTTTAATTTTGGACTCTTTTGACCTCAATGTGGACCAATTTGATAACGGGGCCCAAAAATTAAAATACATGGTTAGATTCAGCATATCAAAGAACCCCATATATTCAATTTTTGTTGAAATCAAACAAAGTTTAATTTTGGACCCCAACTTGGACCAACTTGAAAACTGGGCCCATAATCAAAAATCTAAACACATAAGTAGATTCAGTATATCAAAGAACCCCATATATTCAATTTTTGTTAAAATCAAACTAAGTTTAATTTTGGACCCTTTGGACCTTAATGTAGACAAGTTTGAAAACTGGACCCAGAATTAAAAATCTAAATACATGGTCAGATTCAGCATAACAAATAAATAAATGTGGTCAAATATTTTACAAATCTAATGTGCCAAACTGTGCAATTAAAGATTACTTCTTGAAATTTTTCAATATTTGAATTTTGAAAAAAAAAAATATTTGAAGAATAATTCTTTTTTATTTCTGAAATCTGAAATGAGAAAAAATCGACCCCCCACAATTTCTTTTTACTCCCCCCCTTTTTCCCCAAAAAAATTCTTTCCCTCAAGATATGGTCATAATCTAAATCCAAATTTCCAATGGAGTTTGCAACCATAATTATCCATTAAAATTTACCATAGTGCTAACTTAATCTATTTTATAATAGAATTTAAAATATGGTGTCAAATCTTTCATATGGATTTTTTTGTAAAAAAAATAAAGATGCAACATTTGCAGATATTTTTACTGGTCTTCCTTTATAAATATGCATTTCTTTAAACATAATTCAATAGCAGTGTAAGGGAAGTAATCAAAACGTTGTATTTGGATTAACTCTCTTACACTGTTTTAAATTGTCTTAATTGTTCATTAACCATTACTTTATACATAATTTAAAAGCAGTGTAAGGGAAGTAATTCAAATGATGAATTTGATTTATCTCCCTTACACTGCTTCAAATTATGTTTTGTACTATAGTATTTGTCCATTAACCAGGACAACCTTGTTTTTCCCCTTTTTTGCCCCTTATTCCTTAACGGTTTGAGCCATAACCCCCCAAAGCAAATCCTAACCATCCCTTTGTGGTATGGAAACTTGTGGTATAATTTCAGAGAGATCCATACACCATACCACAAGTTATTGTATGGAAACTAGAAAATGCTTATTTTTGGCCCCTTTTTCCTTAGGAACATTAAGCAACCATCCATCAGCATTGTCATTTAGTGTTTCAATACAGCTAAATAAAAAACCCAAAACAGTGTAGAATTTTTATTGTATAAGAATTCTGAATAAATGGTAAATCATGAATACACATAATATGCTCTTTATCTAATTGAATACCGTCAAATTCCTGAGATTTCCATTTTACTCTTCCTAAATTCAAGTAATCTGTATTGAACCATGCTAGTTCCAAACCTTCTCTTTATTTTTCTTATTATATTTTTGAAATAATTCTTGGATTCAACAGTAAATTATTTTACATTAACAATTTTCTTTTTGTAGACTATGATTTGTGTTTTTATTTATTTTGAATTGTAGATTATATGATTTGTATTCAAAAAGGGTTACATGAATCTATATATAACATACAAAACATATACAAAGTAAATTTAAAAAATAAAAAAATATGTTCCCACATAGACAACAACCATTAAATTAAACCAGAGTTAAACTTTCCATTCAAGTCTCAGAATCTTTTCCGTCTATAGTAGACCAATCAATCAATCAATCAATCAACTGAAGTTTAAAACTTATATTTGTTATAATAAAGAACTCATATAGCTGTTCATTTGTTACAGTCTTGGTGCGTAAATCAGTTCTTTGTGTCAAACTGGCACCATTTGATAATACTAAAATGTCTACTTCTGTTGTTCATGATGACGTACAACCAGTACTGGTATATGGGCGTGGTGGATGACATAGTCACTAACACTACCCAGGAATGTTCTTCTTATTGTTCCCATACCCCTGGTTCCACTGACAATCATCCCAGCTGCTTCCTCTTTGGCTACCTTACAGATGACTTCACCTGGACTTCCACTTACACTCTTTACTTTACCACCGATCTGTCAACAGAGTTGTTATAGTTTAGTGAGCAGCACCTATCAGCTATTTAGTAATTATCAGAAGTTCTGTATTAGTCATATATTTTAATATTATGATCTCCATGAGAACAGAAGTAAAGGCGCCGTGAACTTCCCAACAGGAGAAAAGCAAGAACAGTGATATGAGCTTCATGTTTCATTCATTCATTCATCGACACAATTCTACTTTTTCACAACATAGAACATAATTGGTTTTATTTAACATATATGTGTTGCAGGAATTCCTTTAATTGTGTTTTTTATGTCTTGAATACATTTTTTATTGATGTACACTTTCACTTTTGTTGGTTTTTAGTTCTAAAACATTACATGTGCCATTTTTTTAATAACATTTCTTTTATGAATACATCGGATTTCTCACATAATCCTGCAAAGGAAGGTCAGCAACTGTGTTTATATCTTAGTGCATGTATGCCCTTTAATCAATTTGGGTGCTAATTTCAGAGCTTTGATGGCCTTAAATTAATTAACAACTTGTCTACTTAATTTTAGTTTGACTTGTGCTATAAACACTCGTCTAGTCTAGTACTAAAGACTGTAGTCTTATTTGTAGGTTTGTTGGGTTGCTGTCTCATTAACCCTTACTATGAGTCTCAATTGGTTATATCTATAAAACAAACTTGCAACAGTTCAATAAAATATACTGCTTGATATGCAATGTGTCTCCTTTTACATTAATTACTTTAAAGCGTTTAAATGACCTATATATCATTTGACCTGAACATGATAAATAGTCATAAGTTAATATTTGATATATAAGTAGATTTTGATATATCAATGGCAGTCTTGTGCATTTGTTAGTTGTAATTGCCCATCTTAAGACTAATTTATACCCGTGACACTGATTTTTCGGGGTTTATGTTGTCCTGGTGTATCTTTATCCGTAGATTGATTTTCTTATCTACCAGCCTACTCTCATATGAGACTAGTATAGCAGTATATATATATATACAGTAGTCTCAAGCATAAGTTATCTGTATTTAAATATTAATTAAATTATTACTCCATGGTCCTTCATTTTCTGTCCTAAAGTTTCCAGCAGTTTTTTAATTCGTTTTTCCTCTTCCTGCCACAGATCTGTTAACACTGTCACGTCAGCCATAACCATTGCTATTAAAAGGGGCAACATTTCAGTTACAATAGGTCAATTATAATTAGATAGTTCAAACTTGATACATTAAACGTTTAGTTTATGCTAATATACACGCACTAATAATTAAAGCCACTATATATTTATAACCTGTTTCGTAGGCTGAACTCTGGACCACGAGTAATTAAGTAAATTAAGGATGGTCAATGTGCGAATAAAAGGACATATCATTTGCCAAAATAAACATCGTCTTATGTACAGGATTCAGTATTTACGTATGTATTGACCTCTGTAAGGGGTCATTGTCCAAAGCATACCTAACCATGAGAAAGGCTAGTTCAACAAAAACAACGAGCCAATAGTAACATAAACTGTTATCACAGAGATATGTCTCGCCTTTTTGTAATTTTGATAATGCAAATGTTAAAATTAAAATAGCAATACTTTAACATGTAAGTTATGCAAATATTCAAAGTCGATGAACCATGACTGAAGGTATATGGCTAAACAATCTCCAATGAGATGTGTCAATTCTACAACTGCATACCAAATACCATTGGCTTATTATAAGTCGTTCCCTTTAAACAAACCTAAACACAAACATTAACTTGTAAACTATGTAAAAGTTTCAAAGTCAATGAACCATGGTCAGGGGTGGGGCTATATAATCTCCATGGAAACGACACTTGCAAATGCCAATAAATTTATAAAAATAGACCATGACTGAGGGGGCGGGGCCAAATATTCTCCATGGAAATGAGATGTGCAAATGCTTATACAACTGAAAACCAATTAACATTGGCCTACCACTAATGGTTCACCTTGAACTGACCTAATCACAAACTAATACATGTAAACTTAGCAAAATTTTCAAAGTCTATAGACCATGACTTAGGGGGCGGAGCCAAATAATCTCCATGAAAATGAGATATGCCAATGCTTATACAACTGCATACCAAATATCATTGACCTACCACTAGTGGTTCCCCATAAATTGACCTAATCACAAACTTATACATGTAAACTATGAAAAGTTTCAAAGTCAATAGACCTTGACTGAGGGGGCCGGGCCAAATAATATCCATGGTAATGAGATGTGCCAATGCTAATACAACTGCATACCAAATATCACTGACCTACTACTAGTGGTTCACCATGAACTAGACCTAATCACAAACTAATACAGTGTTGACGCCGCCGCTGACGCCGGAAACAGCATACCTATGTCTCGCTTTTTGACTCCGTCAAGGCGAGACACAAATGGATTATTAAATTTATCTACATTCAAAACGATGTTAACGTTTTGTCTTTGTGCATTATATAGAGCTCTGTATCTTTCATATTATCAGGTGGATTTCTCTCTCTTTCATTTGTTTCTTTTAAACAGTACTTGTGTATGTTTCAGCCATTGTATGTCTAGAGGCGTCCAACTTGGTATTAGATAATTGTTTATTTGCTGTAGACTAGTCTCGGGTACATTAAATTCTGTGAATGAATAATCTCTATAAAGTAAAATCCACGAAATGTCGGCATCTTTGGTATATGCAAACACATGACCTAATATTCCTACTTAATATTTATACCAATGACTTGCATCACATATATTACATAAAGATTCATCACGTGAATATCTTCAGAAATAGAAATCTATATACATGTTTGTACATGTACATAAAACTAATAACATTATATTATAAACCTATAAAAGTACATTTTCAATTGTATACACATGTTATATATAATATATATTAGATAAATGTAATGAAATGCATATAATTATCCTTGTCTTAACTGAAAGAAGTTTTCAATTGAATATAAGGGGACATTTTCATCAGCACCAACAACACCCTGGGATTGACTAGTTAAGGGGCTTATTAAAGTGGGTTGCCTTATAACGTTTAACCGACCGTGCGAGGGCTTTATAGCCAGTCAAGGTCGTTAAAAAACCCATCATCATAATAACGTATACTATTCTAAGTAGTTATTAAGGCAATAGTCAGGATGATCACCGAATCAATTCTTCTTGAAAAATCTTTGCGACCTGACACTTCTAGTATTCTCGGTTGCAACTTAAATTTTTTTTCGCTTTTTAGTCTTTTTCATTATTTTTCACGGTCAATCGTGGATGTTGATAATATGAAAATACTATTCACTTACGTGACTGAACAACAGTGTGATATTCAGGAACATGAACAAATATCACGTGATCGCTTGGTTTGTGCACATTCTTCATAAACCCTGAAATTAAATATTTCAATTATAAAGTTTTGCCGACTTTTACGAAAGTTCCGTATTTCAACGTTCAGAAAAGGACATGAGGGACCAGTAGGATTTTAAATTTTTTTTACATTTATATTCGGATAGTGAAGTTATAAGCGCTGGTCACCGGATTGTCCGAGACTGCACTGACTTCTGACTGCCCCAAACATCTAAAATAGGCGAACTTCATATTGATGTCACAATTCTACTTAATTCCTTTTATAATTGAAGAGTCTTTCACAATCAAAATTCCAACTTCACAAACATTTTTTTCAAGTTGTAAAGTACGAATATTTATCAACTTCTCAAATGGCGGATACATTCAGGTAATAAAAAACGTATGACCCATTTATAATCAGTTAGGGCAAATCCCTCTTTCATATAAACACATACCGTTTCATATTGTATATATCTGAATGTAATAAAACCCAATAACTAAATACAATATTGTATTACCAGCAAGTGAATACACTTGATTTAGTAATCATGTTAGACTAGTTATCTTACAGATGCTAGTATCTGCATTTCAGGAAGTGTTTTTTCTTCAAAATAACAAAGAAATCAATAGGGTAATCAGCTGTCGCTAGCAAACATGTTTTTGAAGAGCTGACATACAAATGCTCGATTTATGGAAGCGCTACAGCGTTTGTGTCTGAGGAAATAAAATATTTTGTCTTGTCTTGTAAAAAATAAAATATTAAAACCCTTGGGCTAAATGAACCAGTGAAGCAGAAAGTTTAATTAAAGAATTGTATCCAGTCAATGCATTCTCAGCACAAATATCTGTTAAAAATGGCCTCCTTGATTTTTTTTTATAATTAGGTATTTGATAGTCTTTGATGAAATGACATTTTGATGAAGGGATATTCATAATTCGTCTAGAATCGGGGAAATTCATATCTTATCAAAGACCGTATGTTCAATCATTACATATCTTAATAAAATGCTTCGCTGGGCGCAGCTTGATACGACCGCAGAGGTCGAACCCTGAACAGTTGGGGCAAGTATGGACACAACATTCAAGCTTGATACACACTGAATTTGGATTGTGATTAAATATTTGACACAGCATAGGTTTCTGACACAGAATGAATGTGGTCTAAGAACTTACAAATTATTAATTGACCTATTCAAACCATATCATTATCATTTGTTTTTACATATAAATAAAAAAAAACCAATTTAAAATGGAAAATTTTAAAGAAAAAAAAAAGGAAAAAAAAATCCCTCCCCTCAAATTTTTGAACCCTCTTAAGATTCATCACCCCCAAACTCAAACCCCTAAGCCTTCCCATTATGGTATGGTACCTTGCAGTACAATTTCAGAGAGATCCATACACTTGAACACAAGTTATTGTCTGGAAACTAGAAAAATGCTTTTTTTTGCCCCTTTTTGGCCCCAAATTCCTAAACGTTTAGGGCAATTACCCCCAAACTCAAACCAAGCTTTCCCTTTGAGATATGGAACCTTGTAGTTCAATTTCATAAAGATCCATACACTTATACACAAGTTATTGTCCTGAAACTAGAAAAAATGCTTGTTTTTGCCCCTTTTTGGCCCCTAATTCCTAAAATTTTGAGGCAATTACCCCCAATATCAATCCCAGCCTTCCCTTTGTGGTATGGTACTGTGTAGTACAATTTCAGAGAGATCCATACACTTAAACACACGTTATTGTCTGGAAACTAGAAAAATGCTTATTTTTGGCCCCTTTTTGGCCCCTTATTCCTAAACGTTTTGGGCAATTACCCCCAAACTCAATTCCAGCTTTCCTTTGTGATATGGAACCTTGTAGTACAATTTCATAAAGATCCATACACTTAAACACACGTTATTGTCTGGAAACTAGAAAAATGCTTATTTTTGGCCCTTTTTTTGCCCCTTATTCCTAAACGTTTAGCGCAATTACCCCCAAACTCAACCCCAGCTTTTCCATTGAGATATGGAACCTTGTAGTACAATTTCAGAAAGATCCATACACTTACACACATGTTATTGTCATGAAACTAGAAAAATGCTTGTTTTTTTCCCCTTTGTTGGCCCCTAATTCCCAAAATTTTGAGGCAATTAACCCCAAAATCAATCCCAGCATTCCCTTTGTGATATGGAACCCTGTGGTACAATGTCAGAGAGATCCATACACTTACACACAAGTTATGTCTGGAAGTTACAAAAATGCTTATTTTGGCCACTTTTTGGCCCCTAATTCCTTAACAGTTGGTACCATAACCCCCAAAATCAATCCCAACCTTCCTTTTGTGGTATTGAACCTTATGGTAAAATTTCATAAAGATCCATTTACTTAAACTAAAATTAGAGTGCGAAAACCAATGTGTCTTCGGACGACGACGACGACGACGACGACGTCATGCCAATATACGACCACAAAATTTTTTTGCGGTCGAATAAAAATTAGAAAAGAGGATAATATTTTAATAAGACTCCAACCCGGTGACTGAAAACTTTGGGAGTAGACATCTGTTTTATTTATGTCCAAATGCACAGAATCTGTGAATTTAAACATGTTAAAGTCCAAGATGAAGCTGAATGCTCGTCACATTCTTAGATAAAATAAAATGCTCCGCAGGGCGCAGCTTGATACGACCGCAGAGGTCGAACCCTGAACAGTTGGGGGAAGTATGGACACAACATTCAAGCTTGATACAGCTTTGGATTTGGATTGTGATTAAATATTTGACACAGCATAGGTTTCTAACACAGATTGAATGTGGTCTAAGAACTTAAAAATTTTAAATTGGACATTCACCTATTATGGTCCAATATCCAAAATCTAAATACATGGTTAGATTCAGCATATCAAAGAACCCCAAGAATTCAATTTTTGATGAAATCAAACAAAGTTTAATTTTGGACCCTTTTGACCTCAATGTGGACAAAGTTAATAATGGGGCCCAAAAATCAAAAATCTAAATACATGGTTAGATTCAGCATATCAAAGAACCCCATATATTCAATTTTTGTTGAAATCAAACAAAGTTTAATTTTGGACCACGATTTGGACCAACTTGAAAACTGGGCCCATAATCAAAAATCTAAATACATGTTTAGATTCAGCATATCAAAGAACCCCATATATTCAATTTTTGTTAAAATCAAACTAAGTTTAATTTTGGACCCTTTGGACCTTAATGTAGACCAATTTGAAAATGGAACCAAAAATTAAGAATCTAAATACACGGTTAGATTCGGCATATCAAAGAACCCCAATAATTCAATTTTTGATGAAATCAAACAAAGTTTAATTTTGGACCCTTTTGACCTCAATGTGGACAAAGTTGATAACGGGGCCCAAAAATCAAAAATCTAAATACATGGTTAGATTCAGCATATCAAAGAACCCCATATATTCAATTTTTGTTGAAATCAAACAAAGTTTAATTTTGGACCCCGATTTGGACCAACTTGAAAACTGGGCCCATAATCAAAAATCTAAAAACATGTTTAGATTCAGCATATCAAAGAACCCTAAGAATTCAATTTTTGTTAAAATCAAACTAAGTTTAATTTTGGACCCTTTGGACCTTAATGTAGACCAATTTGAAAACGGAACCAAAACTTAAGAATCTAAATACACAGTTAGATTCGGCATATCAAAGAACCCCAATAATTCAATTTTTGATGAAATCAAACAAAGTTTAATTTTGGACCCTTTGGACCTCAATGTGGACCAATTTAAAAACGGGGCCCAAAATCCAAAAACTAAATACACGGTTAGATTCAGCATATTAAAGAACCCTATGAAATCAAGAATAAAACCCCATTGAAATTGGTCAAGAAATAAGCAATTTATAGGAAGTATCTTCTTTTGCACAAACCTGTGCTATTAAATATTTCTTGCTATTGCGCAATACTGTACAATTGACAATTTCTTGCTATTGCGCAATACTGTGCTATTGGATATTTCTTGCTATTGCGCAATACTGTGCAATTGAAGATTTCTTGCTATTGCGCAATACTGTGCAATTGAAGATTTCTTGCTATTGTGCAATACTGTGCAATTGAAAATTTCTTGCTATTGCACAATACTTATTATATAATAATTTACACATCCTGTTTGGTGTGTATCTCCTACCATATCATTATTATTTGATTTTAAATATAAATCAGAAATAACCAACTTAAAATGGAAAATTTTAAAAGAAACAAAAAAGGAAAAAAGGAAAAAAAAGGAAAAAAAAAATAAATCCCCCCCCCAAAATTTTTTGAACCCCCATTATGATTCATCACCCCCAAACTCAATCCCAGTCTTCCCTTTGTGGTATGGTACCTTGCAGTACAATTTCAGAGAGATCCATACACTTGAACACAAGTTATTGTCTGGAAACTAGAAAAATGTTTATTTTTGGCCCCTTTTTGGCCCCTTATTCCTAAACGTTTTGGGCAATTACCCCCAAACTCAAACCCAGCTTTCCCTTTGTGATATGGAACCTTGTAGTACAATCTCAGAAAGATCCATACACTTACACACAAGTTATTGTCACGAAACTAGAAAAATGCTTGTTTTTTTCCCCTTTTTTGGCCCCTAATTCCTAAAATTTGGAGGCAATTACCCCCAAAATCAATCCCAGCATTCCTTTAGTGATATGGAACCTTGTGGTACAATGTCAGAGAGATCCATACACTAACACACAAGTTATGTCTGGAAGTTACAAAAATGCTTATTTTTGGCCCCTTTTTGGCCCCTAATTCCTTTACTGTTATTACCATAACCCCCAAAATCAATCCCAACCTTCCTTTTGTGGTATTGAACCTTGTGGTAAAATTTCATAAAGATCCATTCACTTAAACTAAAGTTAGAGTGCGAAAACCAATGTGTCTTCGGACGACGCCGGACGACGACGACGACGACGCCAACGTCATACCAATATACGACCACAAAATTTTTTTTGCGGTCGTATAAAAAATATATACTTGCATTGCTAACGTGCACAAAAATATTATAATAGCACCTTAACCCTCAACCGAAGAAACAATAATTATATAATTAGACTACTGTTTTCGGCTTGTACAGAGAGGCTTACACATATAAATTAGGGATAATGTAGTTGATAATCTTAATATTTAGGTAGTTATCTTATTTACTTAGAGATAAATGTTAAAACAGATCACTATGTCATTATATAGTACCTCGAAATAAGTTTTAAATATTTTAAAAGTATTCTAAAACTTTATGGCATGTCATATAACTACTACTCTATATACACGGTTGCAGTAAATGTCAAAGCATAGACAAACAACAATTCAACTTATTTGACGAACTATACCATCACCCATCCCATCACCCTTGTCAACATGGTGATGGGACATGGTCAATCTTGATATTCCTGAATCATCCCTGAAGGCAATAATAGATCTTACAGTAACTAATACACATATATCAATTTTAATAAATGTATAAACGATTTTGTGTATTAAACAGCCATCATTAGGTATGTTAGAGACCAAAGGAGAGAAAAATATTGTACGTAAACAAAAAGCTAGGTCAAATATTTGTGTCATTTTAATTGTGCTGACAGAAATTCTGCTTACTGGATTGATGATGCCCTCGGTTACGGAAGGTCCACAGGCACTTGTCTCTGAATCCCCACCCCCCTATATACCTTAATATCTTAATATAACGGCACGAATGCGAGTTAAGTACCTTGTGTTATATTACTCCTTTAAGGTATACATATATATAGGGAAAAAAAGTTCAGGGACAAGTGCCTGTGGGAGGTCCATAAGAAGTACTACTAATCCAGTGATGGTGATACAAAATTACGTATGATGTACGCACTAACCGTTTTTCTGATTATATTCACAAAGTAACTTAGCCCGAGACCAAATGTTTGGCAAGCAAAATACATAAAACGCTAATGAATATAAAACGCAAAAATGACGACTGAACATACTAATGGTCCAAATAAGGGCGGTCGCCTTAGTTCTAGTTCAAATACATAGCCTTGTTTATAAGTTGAAAATTTTCAATCAAAGCGTATCATTTAAATCACGCGATGTCAATACCGAGGCACTAACCGTTATGCAAATCATGCCATTACCAAAGAACTTACGAATGATACAGATTTAAGTGCACACGACGCATGACCATGTCAATACCGAAGAACTATCGAACGATACTAATTTTAGTGGACACGACACGTGTAAACTATGCCATTACCGAGGCTTTTACGTATGGCACCATTTTAAACACTAATATATAACTTATGAGATCGGTTTTGGTTGCAAAAGTCACAAGTAAACCATGCCAATAACGCAGTCAACTAATTATATTAATGGATGATATATACAGATTTTAGGGCACCCATATTGTATTAACCAAATAAGTCACTAAAATTCGTAACATCTATGCTAGTTGATCAAAGTCAAATTTTGACAATGGCAGGGGAATTACATGACGATATAAGGGGTCGTTTTTGTCGACCTAAATTGGTTTTAGTTTGAGTGAAGTCTGAAAAAAACAACATTAATACAAATCAAAACTATAGTATACGATTTTGAATCGTGACGCCGTCACGACGTTGTGCTTATTTTTCTTTGACGTTTTTAAAACTCTACTGTAAATGATATCAAATTATTTATTTCTTTGAAGAAGAAAAAATCCGAATGCAGTGATCCCTTGTAAAAATGTTCATAGCACTAAAACATAAACAAAAGATCGACAAGTTTTCGATAAATGACAATCAAAAGTTTATTTTAGCCACTTTTATTCTAGATCTGTTTCACAAATTTGAAATGGATTGATTCTCTGGAAATATAAATGCCACGTTATAAAACATTTTGTTCCCAAGCAGCTTGACAAGCACAATATTAATGCATAAAAATTCCCAAAATCTCCCAATTATGAATAACGTTGCTTTATTATTAAGCCAATTTAAGGACTGTTTCTAATCCTGCATATTTTTTTTATTCCACACTCTTTTTCTACCGTTTTTATCTTTTTTTAGTAAAATATCCGTCGCTCTCTTCATATTATATTCATGCAACGCCGGCTAAGGGTCAACAGGTCAATGGCCATTCGAACGATTTCTACTAATACTATTGAGTATTGTCAAAAGCGCATTGTTAAGATAAGATTATCTTTATTACAGAATTTTTGAAACCTTAGGTTGATGTACTGTTGTCACTGTTTGTAATGACAAACAGCAACTGACTTAGGCGACTATACAATCTACGCAACAAAAAATTACTTTCAAAGGCAGTCATGTGCATTATAAGTAACCGATAAGAGAGTTGTCACATTTCTGATTCAGAACATAAATAATCATATATAATAACTTACAATCAAATGCGTAATCTGAGTAATCACTTCCATCCATAGCAATGACGACTTTTCTTCCTTCAGACATTGTTAGCTTTGGTTAAAATGGTAAACTCAACCCGAAAGTAGATGAAAAGTATCTATAGATCTAATGCGTATACACCTACGTTTACAATATCGACGAGGTCAAGGTAGAACACAAGGCTAAAAAGGGAGATAACGCATGTCAGTCGCTGTTCGAATGAATCGGTGACAATATTTTACAGAGCTGAAATATATTCTAATTTAAGGTACCATGTAATTGTACGCTTACTTATAATTCATGCTTCAATACAGATTCTGCTAGTTTTATGTGAATTGTTGTACTAACTATAAAATAATAACAATACATGCTTTTTGTTTATAATGTATAAAAGAGTTGATGAGTGTGTCTCTCACTAACAATTGGTGCACACGTATAGAGATAGAGGGTCTAGGTTAGGGTGTTGCTATCATTGATTCATGTCTCCCTTGTTTACTCATCTGATTGAAAATAAAATAAAAAAAGCTGACAAGTTAATCGACACCTTGATGATGTATGTTACTTATTCTGTGTGTTTATTGTGTCAGAGGTTTATTGCATATGGAAATTATATTTATTTATCCAAAAGAACTTATTATATATAAATAAACCTATAATAATAACAGTCGATATTATCCATTTTTGGACAAAGACGACTTTCAACTTCGTTCATATGTCACAGTGCTTAATATGTTATTACTACAAATATACAAATATTTATTAGCACAAACTCATCAACAATAAATGGTTAAGGCTCATGGTATATTAATTACATAGCTGATCATACATAATAAGTATTGCAAATAATGACTATATTAATATGTAATATTATAAACAATGATTATGAATTAGACATAATGACAATTTTATAGAGTTTGTTCTGCTTTACGCAGGTTCAGACTGTCTGAAATGAAAGAGGAAGTCAATTTTAGGATTGTGTATGAATTATTATTTAATAAAAAGATTACATTATTTTCATTTTTTTGAAATTTTGTAGGATCAACGATTATGTTTGAAACTTTTTGGTAAAATATGGCCCTTACTTCACAGAAAGAACCGATTGTTCATTGACGTCATTTACACCTGCGATGTAACTCATGCATAAAACTCAAAATTGGTCTTTTACATTCGTGCATTTTCTCGTACATTTCCAATGTCACAGTAAATGTACAAAAGTTTAAGTAAAACACTTAGTCACAATCTAGAACAAGTCAAAAGATCGACTAATGAAATCAAAAACAAGCCGGTCAAGGGCAAAGACCAAAAAGTAAATGTATTATATAGTACGCGTTGTGTTCTAGAATTTAGTAAATCGTATCGAAATAATGCTAATGTAGTTGCAAAGTGGAATCTAAGGATTCCCGCAAGAAGTAGCCATCTTAGGCTGTCAGCTGCGGAAAGTGTGCGTTCTCCCCAACTCCTGATCAAATTAGATAAAAGGAACCTTATCTCTTTCTATGATATATTTATTTATTAGGTATTGTAGAAATATGGAATAAATAAATATTCATAAAACATATGAAATGATTTTACATTTCAGTACTTTTATAATTAATTTAATAATTATAAAAAGAAGATGTGGTATGATTGCCAATGAGACAACTCTCCACAAGAGACCAAATGACACAGAAATTAACAACTATAGGTCGCCGTACGGCCTTCAATAATTAATGAGCAAAGCCCATACCGCATAGTCAGCTATAAAAGGCCCCGAAATGACAAATGTAAAACAATTCAAACGAGAAAACTAACGGCCTATTTTATGTACAAAATAATGAACGAAAAACAAATATGTTACACAGCAACAAATGACAACCACTGAATTACAGGCTCCTGACTTGGGACAGGCACATACAGAATGTGACAGGGTTAAACTAGTTAGATGGCGCCAACCCTCCCGTAACCTGGGACAGTTGTGTAACAGTACAACATAAGAACAAACTATAAAAATCAGTTCAAAAAGGCTTAACTCATCAGATGGATCCAAATAGAAATACAATTAACAAAAGCACAGAGTGGACGTGGATGGGTACTTATACATCCCCACAACAAAAAGACACTAATTACAGATCTAAGAGTACTCGCATTTACTGACAGCTAGTTCAAAGCCAATAACAACTAATAAAAAAAACTAAAATATCAATCAGAACACATCCAACATCCAATGGATTTAGTGTAAAGACGTCATAAACAGCCAGAGAAAAACATGACCTTGTGCAAAACCAAGATATTGACAGATTGTAGAGCCACGAATGTGCATTTGTATATACAAATAATAATAGTTTGATTTTAATTTACTGATAACAAAATCAATATTAATACCAATAAAAACAATATTCAAAGATCTAATTACAGTGTTGAATTGGTAACCTTTTAGAATAAGTTTATTCAAAGGATCGATAAGTTTACCGGATCGTCTCTAAATTTCCGGGCTCGGTAAGCAACATCTCCGTAAAAATGAGGATGTGCTTTCCCGTTTGAAATAAGTTTTCTAAAGGTACAACCATACTTCCAAACCAAATCTTTATATCTATGGAAGAATTTAGTAAAGGTTTTAAGTAATTTGTGGTAACGAAATCCCTGACATAATAATTTACCAGTAACACATGTAATACATAGATTACGTTCATTGAAATCCAAAAAGTCACCTAATAAAGCTACTTTGTATTCTAGTTTGTTTAAATCGAATTAAACATTTAAAAAATCCTTAAATTTAGTTTATACTAAGTTAAAGAAGAGAGACTCTCCGATTCACACCCATTAATATTTATGTGGGGAAAAACACATAAGAAATCCATTTTTTACACAAGATCATGTAATGTTTGACAATATAAAAAGCAAAAATATTACATTTTTTCATGATAGAATCGCTACACCTGTCTTTTGAATCTAAAATCTAAAACAGAAATCTGGTCATTTCAATTTTTTTTTATTAGGAACAAATACAATGAAATGCATACTGACCTAATTCCTGACGTGAATGATCTTTTTCGTCAGGTTTTTAAAAATGATACAGATACGTTGTACGGTGTGACACATGGTGCCTCTTTATTATTACGTTGAAAATTAGTTCGCCCGGATCCCCGACTTTGTTTTTAAAATGAAAACTGTTTTTGATTTTTAGGTAAAGAACAACATTTTAGTTTACCGATGAGATGGCGAGGAGAGTTGCAATTGTAAGTAAGCCAATGTATTATTTTAACATCAGTTCGACAATATACGTGAACCTACTTTGCTCTTCATGTGCCTTTTAATTGGTATATTAATATCTTATCTTATCTTATCTTATCTCTGTAGTCCGCTGAATACATAATAATTAAAATAAGATATATAAAAAACCTCTCACAAACTAACTACTGGAAGCGTTTTAGGTGATCAAAAGAAGATATTAGGTATATTTTATACAAAACCCATCTGAGAAGTTGTAAGGCTTTGTTCTAACTGTTACACAATGTAACTGTAGACATTCCTGCATAAATTGGAATCGAATTTAGATTTAACACTACTATCCCTTTGATTAATTGAAAGATAGACCACATCGTCTCATTAAAAAGAACCTTTACTACATATTCTTTGTTAATGTCATGAAAAATCTAACGTTGTGAAGAACCACACTGTTTCCAATAACAAATAAAAGACAAAAAGAAAATGCATCTTGCAAAGTTCTTTTTTAAAATTTCACTAAGATGTATCGATAATGTCCTGTCAACCAATAGCGCACATTTCAGTGAGTGCTTGCATCTCATGTATACCAGTGAAGTTGAGATGAAGGATACTATCGAAACTATAAGGTCTTCTTCATATCCTGATCTTTTCCTCAATATGCGACACATATAGACGACTGTAATTAGAATCTATGATAAATTTTTCCGATTGTCAACTTCTCATTTCTCAGCAGTAACATTCCCTCTGTCTCGCCGTATGACGTATACATATCCCAAATTATTCGATATCTTCGTGAATGTTCACACTATACGGACTTCATTAACATGTGTGTGTGTGTGTGTGTGATCCCGATACAAAAGCTGCTCCAACAGATATACAAGGAAAAACGATTCAAATCGACACTACATAAGATTATGGTCATCATCACGAATTGGTTGAACGATACTATGTTTCTCAACTCACTAGCGACATTTTTTTTGCGGTCTTAGATGTTTAGATACCAGAATAGTCGTATGATTTGTAAATTTACAGATTGTGTTCTATTCTCGATTGTGATGATTTGAATGAGAATGGATTCCCATGGCGGGTGATGCGCGAATAATACATTTTGTGTAGGATATGCTAACCCTGTCGATGCACCTGGTCTCACTCGTTGTTTCGTTCATGCAATTCCCTAGGGTTTTTTGATTACCTCGATCGATTTTGTTTCGAAGTGTGTGCTTGTTGTTTGGTCGTTTGGTGTCTCAGCTTCAGGTCGTGATATTCAACGTACAAAGACGACATATGCCAACGATACACTTTACAAGATTAGGCTAATATTGAACTAGAAGCGTGATATAGAGAAGCCTGGTCACATGAAAAACATAGATCCCGATGTAAAATGAAAATAGACTCAAAGTCGATTATAAGTTCAGTACTGTATTATCAAAAACATACGACTGTAACAAAGTAACAAGCATAAAGATGTACAACCTCATAAACTTCAGGCTCGACAATACGTTCACCTAGATATTTACTCCTCTGACTCTCCTCTCTTACTTTGACTGTCACAACCCTCTCACATCTGTTGTAACTCTTTTATATAACTCCTACTTGCCCTATCAGGTCCTAATGCAAATATGGAAATACTTTGTCCTAGTAGGGCAGCTAAATGCTTACAAATGAATAATTAATAAAGCAACAAACCAACAGGGCACCAAGGCACCATTACAATAATGCACTAAGACACCATATGCAAATTATTAGGGCTAACTAGTCAAACAGGAATCTAAATATAATTATGATAACAATTCTGATAAAATACCAAATTATCAATATATTTATCATTAAATCTAACTGTACAAAATTATCAAAAAAACTATTAAAATGAAAAAAGATTAAACCTGATAGAAATGCATAAAACAAATGACATAACATATAAAAATGTTACACAATCTTTTTAATAATGGATTTATGAGATTTGAACATCGACTAACTACTGTTGTCTTAATTACATATAAAAGAATGAATTTTAATTGAGGATTTGTTTGTTGAACTAACACCATATTAGACGCGAAGAGAGGATCAAGTATCCACACCATCAGCTTCTAAGATGGGTTTGAATCCCGAGTGCTCATGGTACGTTTTAGTTTACCAATGCGCCTCTGAATAAACAAAGATAAAGCATATTATTCATTTCGTAATGAATCTAAACGTCTTCATGTGTTTTTAAGGTTACTGGAGCTAACAAAGGGATAGGTTATGGAATAGTACAGGCTTTGTGTAAACAATTTGATGGTGATGTTTTCCTCACAGGTAAGGTACATTATATAGATACGATGGCTGAGCGTTGGTGCATTAAAATGAAACCATGAACCGGGAGGGTGAATAGTTCCTTTTTAAAAAAGTACACAATGTTTAATACATCAGCTATTTGAAATTTGTATAACTTTTGATAATTGTAAAACTCAAGCAATAAACATTCAAATTATTATCACTCATCATCAGATTCTTACTTTTTATTGATCAATGTAATGTATTGGTTTTTTTTTCTTCTAGAAAACGTTCCTTTGTTTTATATATCAACAGCCATTGTTTTCTTTGAAAAAAAACATTTACTCCAAGGTCTGGAATAAAAATTAGATTAAAATTATTTTACCTACACCTTTGCCCCCCTTTTCATTTTTTTTTTGTTCCATATATGTACCATTATAAACGTTTGCAATATTCAAAATATTTTTTATAATTCTATTCTCTTTCATCTTTAATCATCATGATAGGCTCTTGGAAATTGCCTCATGTAATTGTACACTTCATTAGTGTAGTTATTTAAAAAAGTTCACTTTCATAATTAATCTACAATGAAAAGTCATTTATGTATAGCATTTTATAGTAAATGGAAAGCCATGTACTATGAAAATTAGAAGGAAATAACTGACAAGTCTTCGGTAATTCATTGTTTAAATGTAGTTTGAACAATCCACTGTGTGTATTGTACTTGTTATGTTTATAGGAAGAAGTAAAGAGAGATGCGAGGCTGCAGCCACTGAGCTTCAAAAGGAAGGACTATCTCCAAAATATCACCATCTAGACATTGATGATAAAGATACCATCATCAAATTAAGGGACTTCATGAAGGAAAAATATGACGGCATTGATGTCTTAGTTAATAATGCAGGCCTCGCTTATAAGGTGACTTATTTCTGTTCCCAAAATAAACTAATCAAAGTTACTAGTATTGTATTAAGGACAAAATGTCGGGTATACAATGTATATGAAAATAAGGAGATGAGGTATAGTTGCAAATGAGACAACTAACCACCTGAGATCACAGCGGGAAGGGAATGTAAACTATAGGTCACTATACGGCTTTCAAAAATGAACAAAACCCATACCGAATAGTAAGCTACAAAAGGACCAGACATGCGAGACAATCAAAGAAAAAGACATGATTTATGCTATAAACAATAAACGAAAAAACCTTTGGCAGATAGCAACCAACAACATCTACTGAATTAAAGGGCGTGTATTTTCTTAGATTTGTCCCGTTTACACCAATATTTTTAAAAACAGATGACATATACCTTTTTGAGAAAGTTTACTAGATAACCTTTTCATCTTGAACGATGTCGAGGTCCCCTGTAGCATGGCCACAGCGATTATACTATTCCAACACTACTTTAAAGTGTTATTTTATTAAATTAGCACAACGTCTATCTTCAGCTCCTCCTACACCGTTGATTAGCTTTCTGTGATACTATAAACGGTAATTTTTTTAAGTGATAGTTATGGTACTATGAACCTCTCTTTTTTATATTACACCAGATCAATTTTGGTGCATTCCTAATGACAAAAAGAATAATCAGCATATGTGGTATGATTGCCAATGAGACAACTAATGAACTATGCAACAGAATCAAGCAACCCATAACTGCCAAAAATAAGGGCACACACCAAAAGAACGGGGACACATTTTACAGCATCCACACGGCACAAGCAACAAACCATGCGATCAACACAGAATGAGGAGATAGCTTAACTTCATAATTTTCCCTTTTGTATTCTGCAACTCCTGCTTGTAATCCCTTCTAATCCATTGTTGATTCTCTTAACAGATCCTGTTCGGCATATGTTAATTTTGTTTATAACCTATTTCATTTTATGATCAGATGAATGCTTTAACACATAAATTGTCTTTGTGCTTAAGGGCAAACGATACAGTTACAGGGGAGGTAATGACGTCGCTAACATAAAATGTTATTTTTCGCGACGTCAAATATTGTGACATATCGGGAAAAGATGCTTGTTTTGACTGATTTTTATCATTCAGACTGATTTATCTTGAAAACAAGTTCATGGACCCTTATTTTTAAAAATGAAATTGTGCTTGATTATGTACGAAGATTGCTTGTGCCAATTTTTATAAACAAATCACCGCTGATTTTTTTTTTCGAATTGGATAAATATACAGCAAAAACACCGTTTTTTTTTTACTAAAATCATTTAAATGTGATTAAAATTAATTATTTCTAAAAATATGTTGCACAAACTCAAATCAAACTTATGTAGAGAAGATATCACAGATGATTTTACAAAAGTCCGCTTGCGTTTATCTTTTAAAACAAAAAAGTTAGGTATGTCTTTCCAAAGGATAGAAATGTCAAAAAAAAAAACGAAATTTCCAGTAAATGGACATTAGGTGTCAAATTCATGTTCAACGATTTGACTCAAATTCCTTTATTTGATTTATGACATACTTAAACATATATACAAAATTACAAAAAGTCTGAAATAAACAAAAATGACAATGCACGGACTCGATAATATGTATCAACATTTCGTGTGTATTTTAGTCTAGACGCTATTTAATTCATTATCGAGATGACCTCCGAAAACTGCAGACGGTTATGTAACCCAATATAAACATAAATAGAAATATAAGTAGAAAGCGAGATCGTGCAATTGGATTTGTCTAGTTGTGTTTGATTTCATATTATAGGTTAAACGAATATGTTTATCATTTTTTTTACCTGAACAAGAATGATTTTTTGTTTGTGGATCCAATCAGTCAACCAAATGGTTCACCCTTGTTTTAACTTTCACTGTTAACATTCTTTTTACTTATAATAACTGAACACGCCTAGTACATGCGTAACCTATCTCTAGCTAAGTGGTTAAATTGAAGGTCACATGCATGCGGATTCAATGAGGTTAAATTAGTCACTTGCAAGTCGATAATACATCAGCTATGCTTTTGAGCTTATTTTGACAAATGTGGGCCAAACTGACTGCTTACAACGAAATATAATTTCAAAATTTCGCTTTTCTTAATACGTGAAATAAAAAGAATCGTATTTAAATTTTTTGTCTAAATCGTAGCTAATGCCCCTTTAAGTTCCATAGAAAATATATATGGAGTTAATCATGTATTCAAATATGAGGAATCCATATTAAGTAAATGACTTTTAAAGGTATCTGTTTAAGCGTTTGAGTAGCACTTTCCTTCTTTGCACTGATGTTTCATTTGGAAATTCTAATACAAATAATTTGAATGATGAGTGTAAAAGATAATAAAATAGGAACGCTAAAGTATAAAACAAATAGAAAGACATAATGAATATTCATCAATATATAAAATTCACTTAAAATGTTGTAACTCTAATTGAAAAAATATGGAAGACATGTTTTTATCACGTTTGTCGGGATTAAGTGCATTGGAGTTACTGTGATGGGTTAAAGTAACACCATAACATCAACAGGTTTTTATAACTTAAAGATTTCACTGTTTCTCTGCAGCGTGAATCTACGGTGCCATTTAGTGAGCAGGCCAAAATGACATGTGCTACCAATTTCTTTGGAACTCTTACTGTGTGTAATACTCTGTTTCCTATACTCCGACCTCACGCGAGGTAAGCATGTTGTCTTGTATTATACAAATTACATTGAAAGATTTGATACATTTATTTAAAGGAATTCCATTGTTTTTTTATTATGGTGGTTGTGGTGGTGGTGGGTGGGTGGGGTTGATGGATGTACGAGGACTTTGAAAATGAATATGCTGGCCTGGTAAGAACTAAAAATAAAAAGTCTTGCCCATGGAAATGAAAATAACACTGTACATTTGATGCTGCCGAATAGCTTTTCGGGATTTACCTTCTCCAGGATCGCTCAAAACCATTTATTAATACTGGATCAGCTGTATGATAAAAAGGACCTCTACAATATAACCAAAAATGAATTTTCTGCAGAACAAAATGTAGGATATAATTGTGCATAAAATAAAAATAAGTTAGCACGCCTCGTAACAGATGAAAAATGAATTTTCCATCCTCGAAAAATCCTCCTGGCTCCATAGAAAATCAAATGGTCACCCCTTTTCACTTGCATTTTCATTCCTTATTAGGCATAATGCTACATTAATGATCTTGGTAGAAAGGATAAATTTGTGCAAGAGTCTTTGTCCCGGTGTAAATAAAATACAACAAAGCAAACTGAATCATAATTTTAACTACTTTAGGCGTACCAAAAGATACTAACAAATAAATCAGAAACCTTTTTAAATTATAGAATGGAAACGACAAACTATTCTGTGAATACCACATTGTACCACATTGATAAAACATTCTATCCCATTACAAGAAACAACATGGCTTGAACAATATGAACTTTTTCCTATATTACATGGATAGAAATGAATTTTTGCTCGTTAAGAAAAAAGAACATCTTTATTGTTATCAAAATGCCTATCTAACATGTAGTTAAAAGTAACATGAAACGAGTTTCTGGTGATTGTAATGGTTAGGAAATTATTGAACCGATGCATATACACCAAATGAGTGCTCTGTGCACGTCTTTTTAAATATATATTATGAATCCATAAAGTAAAATCGATAAAACATTTTTTTTTTGTTGTTGATCGAAAACTTATGGCTGCTCATTATTTTTTTGATTTTTATGCGAAGTTTACCGATCGCGTCCTTGATAAGCAATCAAAACAGAATCATAGAGCACCTGCATAATAAGTGAGATGGTAGAGCGATGTTTATTTGTTTTTGTTTTTTTATTTTCCATGCTTTCCCATTTGTTAATTAAACTTTGTCACAGTTGTGAAATGATTTGACGAATTAAAATTTATCTTGATAATTGGTTAATTCTATCGTCTTTCCAAGTTCCTTTTTTAGCTCAGCTTTTCTCATCACTTGGCGTCCGTCGTCCGTCGTCCTGCGTCCTGCGTCCTTCGTCCGTAAACTTTTACAAAAATCTTCTCCTCTGAAACTACTGGGCCAAATGTGACCAAACTTGGCCACAATCATCATTGGGGTATCTAGTTTAAAAAATGTGTCCGGTGACCCGGCCAACCAACCAAGATGGCCGCCATGGCTAAAAATAGAACATAGGGGTAAAATGTAGATTTTGGCTTATATCTCTGAAACCAAAGCATTTAGAGCAAATCTGACATGGTGTAAAATTGTTTATTAGGTCAAGATCTATCTGGCTTCAAATTTTCAGATGAATCTGACAACCCGTTGTTGGGTTGCTGCCCCTGAATTGGTAATTTTAAGGAAATTTTGCCGTTTTTGGTTATTATCTTGAATATTATTATAGATAGAGATAAACTGTAAACAGCATTAATGTTCAGCAAAATAAATAATCAACTTGATCAAAATGGTCAGTTGACCCCTTAAGGAGTTATTGGCCTTTATAGTCAATTTTTAACCATTTTTCGTAAATTTTTGTAATCTTTTACAAAAATCTTCTCCTCTGAAACTACTAAGACAAATTTAACCAAACTTGTCCACAATCATCATTAGGGTATCTTGTTTTAAAAAATGTGTCCGATGACTCCGCCCGCGAACCAAGATGGCCGACATGGCTAAAAAATAGTACATAGGGTAAAATGCATTTTTTGGCTCATATCTCTGAAACCAAAGCATTTAGAGCAAATCTGACAAGGATAAAATTGTTCATTAGGTCAAGATCTATCTGCCCTGAAACTTTCAGACCAATCAGGCAACACGTTGTTGGGTTGCTGCCCCTGAATTGGTAATTTTAAGAAAATTTTGCAGCTTTTGGTTATTATCTTGAATATTATTATAGATAGAGATAAACTGTAAACAGCAATAATGTACAGCAAAGTAAGATCTACAAATAAGTGAACATGACCAAAATTGTCAATTGACCCCTTAAGGAGTTATTGCCCTTTATAGTCAATTTTTTACAATTTTCATAAATTTTGTAAATTTTTGTAAATTTTTACAAAATATTTTCCACTGTAACTACTGGGCCAAGTTCATTATAGATAGAGATAATTGTAAGCAGCAAGAATGTTCAGTAAAGTAAGATCTACAAACACATCACCATAACCAAAACACAATTTTGTCATGAATCCATCTGTGTCCTTTGTTTAATATGCACATAGACCAAGGTGAGCGACACAGGCTCTTTAGAGCCTCTAGTTTTTTTTTCCATCACTGTTCGGAATTTTTACAAACGCTCTGCGATTGCCGAATTCAAACAGGAGACATGGTTAAAGTCACTGCATACGGAAAAGCTGTACTCGTGTTTTATAGCAGAAATATAGCCATTCAAGTATATAAAACATATTCATCTTTTTGTTACATTTGAAGGATCATATGACTTTAAGCAGGTTTATTTTTAGAGTGGTCAACATATCGAGTACTAACTCCCAATGGGCGATTGAAAAATGCAGTGACGAAGTGAGGTCACAGTTTTTGCAACCAGATATTACAATTGATAAAGTGAAAGGTCTCATACAACAATTCATCGAGTAAGTAGAAAATTCCAGTTTTTATAATTATGACTCAACTTATAAAATAAACGGGATGTTTAAATGTTAAACCCCAAACTGTTCTGAGAACGCAATCGTCATTATTTCATCTGATAATGTATAGACGCTTGAATTTTGCCCCTAGTGAATGGGGATACAGTTCTGTACTATTCATAAGGGGTGGCAGTTTAAAATCCATATACAGATATTGTTTAATGACAGTCCCACCATGTCAGAATAAACAATGGTCTGCATGTTATTTTGACTCCAAATACCGTACAAATATTATTTTTGAACATTTGCTTGGTTAAGACCAACACTATATATATTAATATCATATCACATGTGCTTGTCCTGAATATGGTTAGAGACAACGATTGTTGTTAAACATACATTCATGTGACAAGCTTTGATACCAACGTCATGTTTTACAAAGAAACAATTGTCTGCGACGGTACGCCTCTCCATAGATATTTTAGTTTCTAATGCAGGGGACTTTTGTAAATCTCATTAATATCATTCATGTTGGGTACTCATTATTGAATCTTAATCGTCTTGCTATTCAGTCAAAATGTATGTTAATTTTATTGAAGGATACTTGATTGTAATGCCGGCTAAGATATCCCTCCATACAATTTTGAAGGATGTTTTTTTATGCTCGTCAACTTCGTTCTTTATTTGTCATCTTTAACTTTTTTGATTCGAGCGTCACTGATGAGTCTTTTGTAGACGAAACTCGCGTCTGGTATAAAAAAATAAATTTTGTATATATGATGAGTTTGTTAATGTGTTTTAACAGACTACTGAAAAATTATTTTGAACATGAGTAGGGCATTCAATTGTAAACGATTTTTTTACAGCGCCGCACAAGTTGGACAACACCAAGAGCAGGGATTTGCTAATACAGCTTATGGTATGTCTCATATAGGGATTACGGTTATGACTTTTATTCAGCAAAGACAGATGAACAACGACACGAGGGATGACATCATTATTAATGCAGTAAGTGTTACAAATCTGTTTGATTAAGAGGGTTATCCATGATAAGAAGTTTAAAAAATGTAACCATAGTGAAAGGGAACATCTAAATATGAGTGATCATATTTCAGTTTTTTTTCTTTCAATAGGTTTATTTTTCACAAAAATATTTACTGGTAACAAATTGTGTACTATCATACAAAACGTACCTTACAGATCATATATTTCTCAGATATACTTACATGCAATCGTTTAATAAATTCAACAATTTCTTCAACGCACACGACTCAGATCAAACATACAATATACAAAAAATGTATTAACAAAAAACAACAAATTTTAGATTGGAGGGGCATTCCCTGTCTAGATAACTGGTCTCACTGTTTTTTCATATATTGTGAATGCTTTCAATCCCATGTTTATCTGTCTATTTGTACATGGACTTTGATGTTTGAACTTTTTTAAATGAACTGCCTTCATATATGGGAACAAGAAGCAGATGTAAAGATTAAAATCAAAAATTTCGTTTTGTTTAAGTTGCTTATTATACAATTGGAGTGATGTGTTAAATCATTTGCCGGTCGGTTTGTATCTTCCTTCTCAAGGCATTCTACAGTAAAGTCTTTCAGCATCCGCATATATCCAACAAATCCTAATTAGGAAGCTATAAAAAACTTGTCTTCAAAATAACCCTTTAAATTGTTGAACCAATCCGTCAACGTTGTTATAAAAAGTTTAATTGTTTTATCTATATTCATTTATCATCTCTTATTTTTGAGCAGCCATGCTCTAATGGTCGTAAATTAAGGGTTTCTTTCCATTATCTTCGATTAAAAACGAATTTGTTGTTTCTGTACAATTTACCCTTGATAGTGTCCCAATATACGTAAAAAGTCTAAAAAGCTGAATTTTCTAGACATTTATATGAAAGTGTGTAACAAATGCGTACTTTTAACTATAACCAATTGAAATATTTTTTCTCCTGTCCTTGATATATTCATGATGATGTAGTGTTATCACTGAAAATTACAATTAAAGATTTTGCTTTTATTGTGTAAGTGGACACGTACGGCTCTTCATCCACAAATGTTTTATATTGAATTTTGTTATAGGATTCTGATATATGAAGTTGGAAGGCCGTTTATTTCCAAGCATGAAAAAAAATATTTGTATAGAAGAGAGGCGAAAGATACCAACGGGACATTCAATCTCCCAAGTCAAAAATAAACTGACAACAACATGGCAAAAAAGAAAAAGACAAACAGACAAACAACTATACACAAAACACACCATAGATAACCAAAGACTGAGCAACACAAACCCCACCAAAAACTTGGTGTGATCTCAGGTACTCCGGAAGGGTAAGCATATCCTGCTCCACATGTGGCATCCATCATATAATGTACAATATAATATATACATTTGATGTTACAGTGAAGACTCACATGAAAATATATTAACATATGTTTACATTAAGACAGATTCAAATGTTACTCTCCCGAACGAATATATTATTTTGCTTGTTTCTGGCTTTCTTTAATAATGTGGTTATGCATTTCAGCTTCAAAAACAGAAACTATATTTGGTTTGATCACCACTTAATGAAAAATTTCAAAATTTCAAAATGAGCATATAACGCATCAAATTGATATTGACATTTTGTTGTTTTTTTATAACAATTTCAGCATTGGTTTCATTGCTGGTCGAGTGTATTAAGCCTCGGATGATTTCTCCAACGAAACCAGCGTTTTTGTTCTTGCATGTTATTATGAAGATGTGATATCTCAGAATCTGTGGGTCACCAAAACATTTAAAATTCTGAGGTGATCCGCTTGATGCACATTTGTTCCTCATCAGGTTTTGCTTCCTGGTAATGTAATGTTAGTTTACTGCTCGTCCATGTTTCATAATGTTGGAATACTAGTATTTTGTTTCGAGCACCACTGACGAAGAAAAGAAAATTTTCGAAATTCTCAAATTAGACACAAAGAAATATTTTCACTTCTTATAATATTTTTATACGAACGAGACAAATTGTCAATTCAATAACAAATAGTAGTTTATATCTTAGCGTTTTTTTACAAATCTTCCTTTAACTAATATGAAAATAAGGAGATGGGTTATGATTGACAACGAGACAACTATCCATGTATGGATGTAAGCAGCTTTATGTCACCGTACTGCCTTCAAAAATGAGCAATCCCTATATCGTATAGTAAGCTAAAACGAGAAAACCGACTGATTTTTGCTCATATACTAAAGGAAAAACAAATATGGCAAACAGTAATTAACAATTGAAGTCTTTATTATACCCCACGCAACAAAGTTGCGGAGGGTATAATGTTTTTGATCCGTCCGTCTGTCTGTCCGTCAGTCCGTCCGTCTGTCCGTCCGTCCGTCCGTCCGTCCGTCCGTCCATCCGTCCGTCCGTCCGTCAGTCCTGTTCTTGTCATCGCAACTCCTCTGAAACCACACAACAGAATTTCATGAAATTTTGTGGATAATAAGGACATACTATGTAGATGTGCATATCGACAGGAAATTATGATTCATTTTTTTTTCTAGGAGTTATGCCCCTTTGACCTTATTGGCCTCAATATACTACTGCAACAGTTTGTCATCGCAACTCCTCTGAAACCACACAACAGAATTTCATGAAACTTTGTAGATAATAAGGACATACTATGTAGATGCGCATATCGACAGGAAATTATGATTCAATTATTTTCTAGGAGTAATGCCACTTTGAACTTATTGACCTCAATATACTACTGCAACAGTTTGTCATCGCAACTCCTCTGAAACCACACAACAGAATTTCATGAAACTTTGTAGTTAATGAGGACACAATATGTAAATGTGCATATCCACAAGAAAATTTTTATCACTTGACTTTTGTACAGTTATGAGTCTTTGAACTTAGGAACCTGGTGAGATTTTGTTTGTCCAGTGACAATGTGGGGGCGTGGGGTATGTGAGCGTGCTCACAAAGGTTCTTTAATTTTTTTTATGTCTGTTGTACATCGAATTTTTCGTCAATGTCTTATAACGAGTAGGGTGTTATTTGCACGTCATCGGTAGCATTTCTTGTTCATTACCCTATTCACTGGCCTGCCCATTGTATCTTCTTTCTATTTATAACCAGATGTTATGTTTGACGAAAATACATTTACTCTTTGTAGTGTTGTCCAGGATTCGTACAAACAGACATGTCATCTCACAAAGGACCCAAAACAATACAAGAAGGTACGTTTATATTCTTACTGACTTCTGTGTATTACATCAAAACTGTCAGACGACTCCTTATAGGAATTATTGCCCGTAAATAATGAATTTTACTATTTTTTTTTCATGTTTGCTTTTTATCTTGTAAACTATAATAGATAGAGAAAAACTTTAAAAAGCAAAGATGAGCAAGATCCAAAGAAAAAGTCAACTTGGCCTTAATCGTCAGTCAACTTCTTATTTGAGTTATTTGAGTTTAAATGACGATTTTTTCCAACTTTAAGTGTATTTGCTTATTATCTTGAACATCACAATAGCTAGAGATAACTATAAAAACAAAAATAATCAGCCATACAAGATCTACAAGTAAGGCCCATGAAATGACGATTTTACCTGTTTTTGTCTATAATTTTAAGATAGATAGAAACATTAGATAGCAAAAATTATCAGTAAAATAAGATGTGCAAATAAGTCTATAATGCTGAAATGGTTGATAGACTCTTTGCAGCAGTTTTTGCCCTTAAAAGACTGATTTCCTAATTTTTTGGGGGCATTTTTGCCATTTATCTTGAAAACTAAAAGATAGATAGAAATCTGAATAGCAAAATATGATAAGCAAGACAAAATCTACAATTAAGTCATCATCACCCAAATTGTAAGTCAACTCCTTGTAAGAGTTATTGCCCTTACATTATGATTTTTTACCATGATTTACATAATATCTTGAAAACTATTATAGATAGATAGATAGAAACTTTAAAAAAATGATCAGCAAGACAGGATCTACAAGTATGTCAACATGACGGAAATCGTGAGTTAACTCTGAATGGATTATTGCCCTTAAATGATGATTTTTACAAAACAATGGCCATTGTTGAAGATGCAAGACAGCGACACAGGCTTTTTAGAGTCTCTTGTTTTATAATACAGAAGTTTACATTCAAGATATAGATGAATAGAATACGTATAGAGAGATCTTTTATCTTTCGTTGGTTAGGTAAGAAAAACGATTGATTGATTGTTGGTTGCTTAACGTGCAGTGGCAAATATTTCATGCATGTTCAGGACGAGAACAAATTAACAATAAGTACAAATAGGTAGGTCCTGTAATAGAGGACGTCCGGGATAAAGGTAGGTGAAATTTAGACTGCCACAGGAAAATGAGGATAAATTGGATAGGGACAGAAATTTTGCCTGGCAACAGGCCATCTACGGACCATCAAAGAGATGTAGCAAGGGTTCCTAACGTGCAGAGGGCGTGACACTCTCTCTACACGAGGCATCGGATTTAACGTCCAAATTCTGACCGGATGTGACTGCGTACTTATACATCCCACACAGCCAAATGGACGCCCAACTTTGGCAAGGGTTTTACTGCCGGTCGGAAGAAGACCTGTAGTGACCATATTTCTATTCCCCAGTCACCCTTGAGGGGTAAGAAATACGAAGAAAACAGTAAGATAATGAAAATATAAGTTGAAGATAGACAACACAATAACATATATGAACAATTGAATAAATAAGTGTCCACAAAACATATCACAGTTAAACATTTATATTTACAATATTTATCAAAATCTGATGAAAATTTGACTCCAACTGTTGACGTCAGAAAAAATTCTGAAATTTATGTAATTGTTTGATTGAAAATTCGAAATTGAAAAACTAGATCTCTTGAAAAAAATGAAAAAAAATGTATATTTTAGGTGCTGTTACACCAGTATATTTAGCATTACTCCCAGCTGGAACAACAAGTCCAAAAGGAAACTTCTTATCTGATTGCACGATCAAAAACTGGGGATGAGGTTGAAAGAAAATATATGAAAAAACTTAGATTTTCTAAACATATCTATATTGATATTTGAATGAGTTCATTGCATTTTCATTACTTTTAAATAACGATGAATATGTTATAATGTATTAAAAGTAAAAAAGCATAGTGATTGGCTTCTTTGTGTAGTCATTCAAGTTCAGTCACTGAATGGTGAGTAAAGTTACATTTACGCCTTAGACTATCTCGACTTTAAAAAGTACATTGAAGTTCTTTTATTTTCTCAATCGTTTGAACATTACGTCAATGAAGGTCAAGCAGACTGAAAATTGCAAACAAAGTTTATCCTGATGGTATCATAATCCGTTAACAAATCATATTAAACAAAAATCACGAGTTTCAAATACAAAGCATCAACCATGGTAAGGATAAGTCATAAAAGAGAGGTAAAGGATACCAAAGGGACATTCAAACTCATAAGTCGAAAATAAACTGACAACGCCATGGCTAACAAAGAAAAAGACAAACAACAGTACACAAAACAACATAGATAACCAAAGACTGAGCAACACGAACCCCACCAAAACCTCGGGGTGATCTCAGGTGCTCTGGAAGGATAAGCAGATCCTGCTCCACATGTGGCACCCGTCGTGTTGCACATGTAAGTACAAACCCCGTGATCTGTCAAATTCATAAACCAAGTTTAACGAAATGACTGTATCAAGTGCATATTTCATAATTACTTTACTGAGTTAGATGATATTACAACTTTTATTTTGATAATACATTTCTATGATAATCCTGTCGAAGCACACATTAATTGTTTACACTTAAATAAATAGAACCAAGGGCTACTATATATAAGGTCGTATCATATCCCATTGCTAGCGAAGATGTGGCTAAGTATTTTGTTCTCAAGAAGGCAAATTCCATCACAATTCCCCAACCTCAAGAGTCATCCTACCATTATGACTGTCCCAACACAAACCCTGGCTAAATATTACTTTTAACCACTTGACTAGAAGATATAAATTGCAAAAGACTCATTTCTGCTTTGACCCAACAAATATAAAATAAGAAGGTACCAGAACTAATGTAACAACTAATGATAGCCAGAGTTAAGATATTTGAACAAAAGGTAAGACAGAATTGTTGTGATAATTGAAGATTTAAGCTTATCTGACACTAAGCTATTCTCGTCACTTGGCGTGCGTCGTCGTCGTAATCCGTTAAATTTTTACAAATATCTCCTCTGAAATTACTGGGCCATTTGAACAAAACGTTACAGTCTTCATTGAAGTATCTAGTTAAATTTGTGTCCGACATGGTTGACATGGATAAAGGTAGAATATTGGGGTAAAATGACAGTTTCTTACTCTGTTTTAAAAAATGCAGTGGCTATTTTGCCGGCTCTGATTAAAATATCTTAATTCCAGCCGGCAAAATAGCATATTTCTATAGAAATGGCTATTTTACCGGCACCAGCAATATAGTGAATTTGTTATTTTGCCGGTAATTTTAAAGAGTGAAATGTAATATTTACTTTTAGAAAGTACTATGAAAATGTGCACTGTCAACATAAAAGAATCAAATAATTACTGATATACCAGTAGTTAAATAAGAAAACAGCTAACAATAATTGAGACACATATACTCGTTTAAAAACATTTATCAGCCAAAGTGTAAATAATTATTAAGAATTTATAACAAGAAAAAACAAAATAAAAATGTTGAGCATCCATTTATTGCTATGAAATCATATCTAAACATGTAATTGAATTTTTTTCTAAAATCAGTCAGTCTAATGCTACATGTATGCATAAAAATAAAATCTCAGATTTTTTAACTGTATGCTATAAAAAAAATAAAAGTTAAAAATCTCATTGCATCATGAATTTGATTAAACATTATACAATATAACAAAGTCAATCACATAGCTTCAAAAATCAAAAATGTTTAAATTAAACTTGCTTTTGAAATAATAGTCAGTTATTTGAATTGCATATGTGTAAACAAAATAGTTTTTAACTTGGCTTCCGCTTACCTTATGCCAGCAAAATAACATATCTTTATATTTTTCCAGCGCCGGCAACACGTTCACTATATTGCTGGTGCCGTTAAAATAGCCATTTCTATAGAAATAGGCTATTTTGCCGGCTTGAATTAAGATATTTTAATCAGAGCCGGCAAAATAGCCACTGCCTTTAAAAATACACTATAGAAATTTTGACGACAGAAATGGTCAAAATGATGAGATCTACATACTGTCTATTACATCGAACCTGTCAGATGACGTCTTGTAAAAGTTATTCCCATTAAACGACGAATTGTTTTCCATTCTTGTATATTATCGTTACTAAAATAAAAAGAGTTAAACTGTAAAACATCAAAACTGATCTACACATAAGTCAACATGTCCGAATTTGTCAGTCAACTCCTTATTTGAGTTATTTTCCTTTAATGTCGATTTTTACTAATAATTTTTTGCGTTTTTGCCTATTATGTTGAAACTGATAGGTACATAGATAGAAACCTTAAGCCTCAAAAATGGTCAGCAAGACAAGATCTATAAAAAAGTGAAATGACCGAAATTGTCAGTTGACTCCTCATAGGAGTCATAACCCTTTAATAAAGGGCTTTTTTAAACTGATAAAGCCAAAAAGGACATAAAGCATAGTCAAAACCGAACAAGGAATCAGAGCTTTGCACAAGGGAGATATATTCCAAAATTTTAAAACGACAAATATCAGACTTAACATCATGCGTATATTCATGGCAGAACCGAAGTGCTGGTTACTGGGCTGGTGTCCACCAACAGAGGTATCGACCCAATAGTAGTAGTAACACTTATCGTACCAGATGCGTATTTCGACAATTTATGTCTCTTCAGTGATGCTCTAGACCGAAATATCTGAAAATCTTAAATCGAATAAAAATGTTGAAGAGCTGTTTAAACCAAATAGGACCATAGCAGAATGTAGACAAGGAATCAGAGCTTTGCACGTGGGAGATATATTCCTTAATATAAATGATTTCAAAAATGTTATAACTGCAAATTTTAATCTAACAAAATCCGTATTTTCATAATGGGTTGGTGATACTCTTGGGGACTAATAGTTCACAAGCAAAGGTATCGACCTTGTGGTAGTGGTTGTTTTTACAACTGCGCGTAAATGTACAATCGTCCGATATAGGCTTACCACGATTATTCTTTAGATGAATTTGTGTTCTTCTTTGTTAGAGATTTACA